GCTGCTTTGATGATGAAATGTGTGAATGAAGCACTTATCATTGGCATAATGTATTAAATGTATGAGGTAGTCTTTCTGGCTGTCTGTCCTTACAACATGAAAAACTAAAGAGTTGGCTGTTAATCATGTTAACAGTAAAATATATTATCTAGTTATCTCATATATGCTAGTTCAACCTATTCTAGAGATGTCATTTTACAGGTATCCATTGCTTCATACCCAGGGATGGGTAAAGATGGTTATGGTCACAATCCAACACTAAATTAACTTGACGAATACAATAACGTTTAGATGGCCAAATTCACATTTCATGTAACTGCAGAATTAGTCCAACATTAACATAATGCAAAATTAGCAATTTAAACAGAAGTCTCTAGAGACTGTGACCTTGTCAATGCCACTAGTTTGGCTACATAGTTAATTCCATCAGAGTCATTGAACCAAATGTTAGTGTGTATAAAGAGAGTCCATGAGTCAATTGCCAGTACAGAATTCTTCCTGACATAGGAAGGCAGATGATCTCAACTTTTGAGTGCATACAGTGTAGATTTCTAGTTGAATGGTTCTTGACAATAGTGTCCTCTGAAACATAATGCCTGGCTAGGAGCCAAAGATTATGCCACCATACAAATCACTGTGCATCTGATGCCAGAACGCTTCTTTGCAATGGTAACAGGAGTTCTGGTGTTCCACAAGATGTTGCATTGGATATTTTATCAGACCCTGGATTTAAAGATTTTGTTTAGATGGTTTTCAGGAAATAAGTGGAATTGGAGGGAGAGGAAAAGAGTAAAGAGGTTTCAGTGTAGCTTAAGAATTAGCTTTGCTATTTTATGTTTTCCATTAGGACAAAATCAGCCTTTGTTTTGATTCCAAGTTTTATTAATTGTTTAATAGATATTTTCATTTTAAATTTCTTGTTTAATTATAGAACCAAAACAGCTTGGTTCAAACTGTTAGCTAATGATCCATGTATCATTTTAGTAATTGCTATCTTCTTTCAGAAATGCATTAATTTTGTTGGAATATATAGACTTTCAAATGTAAGAATACAGGGAGTTTTTTAAGACTAGTAAATTAGAACACTTATCATTTGTTTCAAATGTTATTTTACTGTAACATTATAAAACTAAAATTAGTAGAACATTATAAAGATATTATAGTCCTCCAACTTAATTTGTATTTAATTGTCTTTTTAAGGATTAAAAATAGCTAGATTATGGTATATAAATGCCATTGGTGATATAAATGAAATCTAAGTTATACAAAGTGTTCTTATTCAAGAGGAATTATGTACTAGGTAAAATATTTAGCCAAATTTTATTTCAAACTATGAAATTGTCCGCTATAATTTTTTAACTACCAACTTTTTAAAAAATATATCTCTCTAGAGCACTTTCCAATTAAGTAAGTAGAAATAAAAGCACTTTATTTGATAGTAAGTGTGTTGCTCAAGATGAAGGAACACACAGAATTCTAAATATTACTTATCACAAATATTATGTAACAACATTAAAAGAATCTTTTTCCAAAGGTAGCCAAAGTTATCAGTTTTTCATACATCTTTTGACTTGGTTTTGATTTATATTTTCTTTTCTCATTAGCAAAGTATAGGCATTAGCCAATTATAATAACAGTAATAGTCTCTTTTAACTATGGGTAGTAATTCATAAAAGAAAAAAGAAGATAAGTGAAAAGATTTCTTGTGGTTTGAAAATGTCTTCCAAATATTCATTAAACATTTAAGTGAGTAAATTTGTAGAATATGTTTCTGACATTGGCACTGGTTCTGTGGTATTTCTCTGATCAGATGGAAGTGCTGTGTGTTATGCAGAGTGCATTCAGTTCATTCATGCATAAACAATATCATTTTCATAAATTAAAACCTCCCCTGCAGAAGGAACATCTGTGCCTGCCTTTGAATAAAAGATGGTGGCATGTGAGTTACTCCTTGACTCACTAAAAGAATCCTCATATTTTAAAATGAGATCATATAGGCAAAAAGGAGACAAAAAAACAAACCTAATTTCCACTCTTCATTTTTACCTTACAAAAGAAACCCTCGTTCCAGATTTCCTGCATGCTTTTTTAGAAGACAAAATTCTTAGAGTGGTGTTTCTTATTCTTTCTTCGGTTAACTACAGCAACAGTTTTTAGTTTGCATGAAGTTGGCTATTTTTAATTACAGATAAAATTGAGCTGCTGAATGGATCAGATCAGATCTGAATGTTCACTTCATGATCTCCTAAGCTGGGAGGCTGACAGTGCTCAAATATCATATCCGTATTATATCTCTTAAAGTAAGAACAGTGAGAGCAATCCTGGGTATAAGAAGCAACAGCTTGATTCCAAAATAACAACCCTGATTCACTTGGAATGAGATTGTTACATTTTGGATAAGGTTGGGACTAATTTGAAAGTATTTTTTCTCATGTGATGAAGGCTGAGGGAAAACATGTTAAAATGATATATTTTGAATTGCACTCAAACTTTTTCTTTAATGTTGAGCTATTCCTTACTGCTACTGTCACAGCTTGATGCAGCCCCAGTGGCAATGTTATTAGTATGGCTAATTGTTCCCGTCCATTAGATAACTCACATTTTTCTGGAGCAGCTTGCTAAATGAGGTCAGCTTTCTGGAACCCCTAAATCACCAATGAGAAGGAGATTAAAGGAACAAGCTTGGAAAGGGAGGTAGTCATCCAATGTGGCATCCAAATCAGAGGAGAAACAATGGAGTTACTAATGACAGTAATCAGAGCACCATGGTAGAGCCAGGACACAAGTGCCAAAATGTTATTCCCCAGGAATCCTTCCTGTCAGTCAGTACATCCAGGGGAAAGAGAAATGCCAAACTCTTTTTTTTTTTTTTTCCAGTTGACTTATAAATAGACAGAATCATCTGTAAATTTTTGCAGAGGTTTTGGATTTAAAAAGAGAGTAGTACTATCAAAGGTACTATTTGAAGGGAAAACAACTATGCCTTATTAAAATACACTATGGAATAATTTGTTCTTCAAAACAAATAAATCATTCCTTTTTCCTGGAAAAGTTATTTAAAATCATCACAAGAAGTTTACAGAGCAATTATAAAATGCTTCTTCTTCTTAAATTCTTCAATTATTTTCCACTGGTATTTTCTAAAGGTGTATAACTTTCTCTTTAGGACAGTACTGGTTTGCATTAGAGACTTGTTCTGCTGAGGAAAATATACAAGAAATATAATACCTAGAAAATAGAATATATATATATATAATTTTCTTTAGATTTCTTAGATTGTGTAGACAATCTAAGCTATGGTACTTGTCTTTCATGTTAATAATTAATTAGATCTCCTTAAATAGAAAAGAAGCCATATAAGCATTTATAAAATGGGAGTTGAAAATTAAAAGTTGAAGCCACTTACAACAAAGAGAAACAAAAGTGTAACTGTTTGTAGCCCCCCAACCCCATATTCCAAATAATGAAATAGCACTTAGGTACCTTCTTTATCGACAAAAAGCTGATAATTCCCTGAGTAAAATAAACAGACTAGAGAGTCTGTCAAAGTAAACCTTTTAACAATATTTTACTCTATAAGTGGTGTCTAGTAGTTTTCTCGAGCTAAGCAAACAAAGTAACTATCCCCCCAGGAATTACTCACACTTGCAAAAATGACTTCAAGAAGAAAGGCAACAATTTCTCAGATTTTCAATACTATTTTATTGCAACTGGATGAGTGTTTTCTAAGTTGTGCATTACACCATAATATACAGGATTACAAACAAGATTACAGTACAGATCGATTCCAGTGGTACCAGCATCACATCTCAAACAGCACTTATTCTGGACTGCATTTTACATGCAATAGCTATTGTTCTAATTATGAACCAAATAGTTTGAATTTATTTAAACTACTGTACTAATTGACTACAATAGGTATAAATCCCAACATTAACAACCTGATTAGATTTAGGCTCAGATTCATTACATGAATAAATGACAAACCACCATTTTTGTGACTATGTATAAAATCATGCATTTGTATTTTTCTGGAAACATCAATAGCTTCAGATTCTCTGTAAAATCATGGAATGCAAAGAAGTAAAAGACTAAAAAGAGACAGTGCAAATTGTATGTGATAGTCAAGCAGCTTTTGATTTAAAGAAGGGTATGTTGGCATTTGTTTATAATATGTATATATAAGCTTGTGCAAGTAATGTGTTGAATTGATATGCTTTGATAGAGATCAACACCTCTTACTTTTTTTCATCCTCTTGAGAGTTATGAATCTGGTTTTCCAGAAAAGGGAAAGACTTTAAAGTGAAATGAATTGCTCAAATTGTGCATTTTGTTGTTTGTTTTTACATTAGAGAGGAAAGAAGTGCTAAGGCAACACAATAACTTTCTAAGCACTTTTCTGCTGGTTTAAATTAGTTAAATTATTTTGTATAAATTAGATATAATTCTACTTTTCTGATATGTATAAAAATTGATGAAGCTGCATGGTTTTAAAATAGGAAATCCACATTATAAAAAGTCATTAAAAATTCTGTACAAAATCACAACAAAATAATTCAGCATGGGAAAGTTAACAAGTAGTAAAATGCTGGTTGAAAAATATATATTTATATATATTTTAATTGGCCCATTACTAGTTTAAAAATTGCATAGATCCTAATTATTGCTTGTGATTTTGTTATCCCGATCAGATAATTAATATGATCTGAATACAGCTACACCAAATTTGTGGTGCAGTTCTTTTTTTAACTTTACTGTATTATTTTTTTAAAATAGAAGAGCTATAGAAAATAATACATAAGGTGAACAGGAACTTTGATCCCCTGTTTCTTCCAAAGGCAGTAACGACAATAAATACATATATCACTTGAAGCTTGGAGTATTTGCACTTTGCAGCAGTAGTACCCAAAGGGCTGCCTTTTGTAAACACGACAGTCACTGTAAGCACAGTGGGTTCGTTTCCCCGGGGATGGTGAAATTCATGGGCCTCTTCCAAAGGGTTAGTCATGAAAGATGGCATTGAGCTGGGCATTCATGACTCGCTCATGATGTGAATGGCTATCGAAGGACATAATATTGTCTATGGGGATCTCGCAGCGAGGGGCAGCGGTGCCCGAGAAGATTGATCCGTGGCTTTGGGCCCCTGCCAGGGTTGCTGCAGGATAGTGCATGGTAAAGGCATAATTTTTCTCAAATTCGGCGGACGGTTCGTGTTTGAAAGAGAAGTTGCCATTGATGCTAAGCGGCGGACTGAGGGGCCCGTCAAAGGAAGGGCTGGTGCAATCAGTCAGGGGGCTTTCAAAGAAGGGCTCCAGCGCTGCGCTGTAGGCGTGCGGCGGGGGCTTGACGTGGAAGACGTGGGAGCTGTCCATGGTGCCATAGGGAGGGCTGGGTAGGCCCGGCGACTGATACGAGTAGGGGTGCACAGGAAAGGAAGCGCTGGCCGTCGGCAGGTGCGGGGGCATGTCCTGGTTCTGCTCAGGCAAAAAAGTCCGAGGGTTGAGCTGCAGACAGCCTGCAACTAGGTTGGTGGTGGGCTGGGACAAGCCCTTGCAAAGCGTCTGTACGAAGGAGACCAGGTCGGGGCTTTTGCCGGAGCGCAAAATCTCGGACAGAGCCCAGATGTAGTTCTTGGCTAAGCGTAGAGTCTCGATTTTGGACAACTTTTGCGTCTTAGAGTAGCAGGGCACTACCTTGCGGAGGTTGTCCAGAGCCGCGTTCAGCCCATGCATGCGGTTCCGCTCTCGGGCGTTGGCCTTCATGCGCCTCAATTTAAACCGCTCCAGGCGCGCCTTGGTCATCTTCTTCTTTTTGGGGCCGCGCCTCTTGGGCTTTTGATCATCATCCTCTTCTTCCTCTTCTTCTTCCTCTTCCAGATCCTCATCTTCGTCCTCTTCCTCTCCTCCGTTCCTCAGTGAGTCCTCCTCGGCATTCATGGCTTCCAGGTCGTCCTCCTTCTTGTCCACCTCGTGCTCCTCGTCCTGAGAACTGAGACACTCATCCGTCCAGCTTGGAGGACCCTGGGGCTGCGGCTCACCCATCAGCCCGCTCTCGCTGTACGACTTGGTCATGTTTAGGTTTCCTACATTCAACAGGAGAGAGGAAAACAGGAAGATATAGAATCAGCTCCTACTCTCCAGCCCTATGCAAATGCATGTGAGAGAGTTGGGCCCTTCATTACAAGAGAGATGCCTGTAACGAAAAGTTAAATGCATAGTTTTATAATTGTGTGTGTGTTCCCTGTTGGTACGTAGAAAAGAAGGCAGAACTGGTGTGTGTGTGTGTGTGTGAGTGTGTGTGTGAACACTCACGCATGTGTATTTCCTAGTGATTAACTTCAGTGTGCTTCTGGTGATTGCCCGGCAAGATAGTGTGTGTGAAAATTAGTGTACCCATCATATTAAATATCTATTTCCCTGTATGTTTCCAAAGTCACACCCAACACCACAAAAATGAAGAGTTTGAAAATCACACATTCTATTTCCATTGCCGGCCTTGCTGCCAGCTACTTAGCGATTTAAAGTGAACTATTACGTAATTTCCTAGCCCTGGCAATGATTTTTAAGAAGCTTATAGGGATAGGAGACTGATAAGCAAATCCTTGGAGAAGGAAAAGTAGTTTTCAGCAAATTATTTCACCATCAACGAAACCTTTGGCAATAAAAGTAGACAAGAGTCTCCCATTCCTCTCTTGCCTTTCTCTTCTCGCCTCGTACCCCTCGCCCTCGGCCGATTTCCCACCTTATACAAAGCGCTGGCTTCATGGAGAGGGCTGGAGGCGCAGCGCAGAGAGCTCTCCCACGCGCTGGGGATCAGGTGCCGATGGCTCCTCTCTAATAAACAGCCCATTGAAAGGGCCGCCTGCTCTTTATTGGGGCTTTTCAAAGTTCGCCTCAAACCTCCCTTTTAAAGATTGAATAATTATTATGGTCAGCGATAGGCAATGGCGAAGTTGCCGTTTCTAATAAGGAAAAATCAAAAGCCTTTAGTGAAAGAACTGACTATCTGGCTCCAGCTATGGCTGCTGAGGGCTTGTCCGATTCTGGAGCGGTAACAGGTAGCAGGCGTGGATCACTCTTGCTTTACTCCACTTTTTCTTCCCCCTCTCAACTATCTCTGAACCTTTTTTTTTTTTTTTTCTTTTTCTTTTCCATGGTGTGTGCATGTCAAGTATCCAATTCCCTATCATTCACTAAAGCGTTACTTGGCATTCTCAATGTGCATAAGCAAATCTACAAATGTATCAAATACATGAACAAAATAAATCTTGGTAACAAGCGTGTGTTTTACTGGAAGAAATGAGGAAGTGAAATGGATATTTGCTTTTAGCCTTTAGCTTTTAGCAAATAACCATACAGTTAGTGTGCATTTAAAAAAAAAAAAAAGGAAAGAGGGTTCTATAGTTTGGCAAAAAAGAAATTGAAAAGAAAATTCGAAAGCTTGCAGTGGGCAATTGAGTGCGGTGATTCAATGTGTAGTCGTATTTGGTTGTCTGAGATTACGGGGAGGGACACCTCTTCCAATACACACAGACACACAAATTAACAAGCACACGCCTCACAAACGAGCACACAGTACAGATTATACAGGTACATCGGGTCTTCAGTTATTGCTTTATTCTTGAACAAAAATGAAAGGATCATAATTACCTGTGGTTCTTAGTGAGTCCTGAGCAAGGATGGTTTCATAACCCTGGGGCCTCCAGATGCCGTGCCTTCTGCGTGGGGCGAATTCCTCGTGTCTGGACCGAGCGGGCGCTCAGGTTATATAGCCGAGTTGGTGATGCTGAGCGCGGGTGGGGCCGGCAGCGGAGCGCCGAGCAAGTCCTGACGCCTGGCGCCTGCGCACGCGTCCAGGTTGCGCGATCCCTCCCGCTGCCCCTCCTCAGCCTTGCTCTTCTCCCGCCCTCCTCCTGCTCTGGCTCCCCTCCACCCCCTACTCCTACCCCACCCCTTCTCCTTCCTCCCCGGCATGCGCCATATGGTCTTCCTGGTCCAGCCAAGAGCCGGGAGCCACGTGACCTGCCTATTTGTATGCCGCGGAGCGCTCCATTCCGGCCCCTTTGTGGCCAGAAGAAAGTGGCCCATCTGTCGCCAGTTAGAGACTCTGCGGACCTGTTTTTACCCGCAGGAGAGATTAACCCTTTCAGGCGGCAGAAGGGAGGGGGGATAAGAGGGGCGAAAGGACTTGGGAGATGAGAGCGGGAAGCTAAAGACTACAGGATTTAGGTCAGACGGGGGAGGAGGGTAGCGTGCTTGGGTGGGAAGTGGGGCTGAGGTGGCGGTACCTCGCCCTGGCACTGGCCTCCCGGGCAGCTTGACTTCTTGACCTCTCCGAAGAGCCCATCCCCTGATTTCCTCCCCTTGGCAGAGCTTTCCTCGTTGGCGCCAAAGGGTGGCTTCTGCTAATCTCCATCAGCCCCTCTAAGCTAACACACAGACCGTGTAAAAGAGGTTTCATCCACAAACTCAGCTTTGAGACTAGTCTCCTACCCTCTTTAACCTCATCGCCCACTCCCAGCCGCTCTAGTACAGAAATCTTGAACCCTTCACTGCCCCCTCCCCGGAATGCTAACGCCCAGGCCTCAACCCTCATGCCCCCTTGTTCTTGGAGACTCCTCGCCACGTTGGTCCCCACTCCCAGAGGCCCATGTCCGCAGAGCAAGCTAGACCTTGCGCGAAGGACTTGTCTGCATCGGCCTCTGCGCTGTCCTTGGTGGGAGCTGGGGGCTTCACTGACCTTCGCTGGCGCCTTCTAACTGCTGCAACTATTGCTGCGATACAGTGAGTCCAGAGCACGCGTCTGGTCGGTTCCCTGACTAGTGCGCCTTCCCCGACTTCAGCTCTCCGGCCCAAACCCAGACCCGTATCTCGGGGGCAAACGCCCTGCACTTTGGTCCCCATTCTCCGTCCTGCAAATGAATATTTTGTTCAGACAAACCTGTTCAAGGAGAATATGCAACTGCCAGTGTTAAACCAGCATTTTCGCTCCCCGTTCTACCCACGTCATTAGCACAACCCCCGAAAGGACTGATGGCCATGACTGTTCCAGTCTGCAGCGTCTGGATATGGCTTTCACTTTGAGGCTCAAGCATCCTCTATAGGACTTCCCGACTAATTCCGAAAGAGCCATATTTGTGCTTAAATATTGATTCTTTATTCAACTTTTCCAACAAAACAAGCTTCAGTCTATCACCTCTCTCCCTCCCTCTCTCTCTTTCTCCCTCCCCCCCCCGTCTCTCTCCCTCCAGTCTCTCCCCGTCTACTCTTTCTCTGCCAGCTTCACCTCTAATCCTCTATTAACTAACTTATGACTCCCTCCCAGCCCCAAAAGCCCCTTGTAAGAATGCGTCATGCTTGAATTGCTTACTTAAAGGCCCTCAAAGTCCACAGACACTTCTCAGGTTTGCAAACAGTGTCAGGGTTGAGCATCTGGAGTGTGGTGCACTGGAAGTAGCAAGAGGGCTGTTCCTAATGAGATCGCTCCTGTTCCTGGAAGGATAGTGGACGAAGCCTTCACCGTCCAGAACAAATCCCAAAGGGGAAGAAAAGGGTGTTGCTACCCGACAGGTGGCCCCGGGAGTGGTGTGACTCGAGCTGCGTTTCCAGAGCAATTCTGTGTTGAGTTTTGCTTTCCTGCGTTTAGTTTAGAGGACAAAGAGCACTGCAGAAAGTAAAATAATTACCCAGGAGCCTCGCCTCAGTAATTACCCTCGTCCAGTCTGTGGATTCAGTGCTTGGTTAAAATCGGGGCATTAGAGGAACAGCCTGCGTAGGCCAGGCCACGGCCCAAATGTTGAGGGGACTTGAAGAAAGACCCAGTCAGGTGCTGCCATTCTAGGGCAGGCTCCTCGACAGTCTACCCCGCCGTGCAGTTGGGGTGTTGAGCTCCTGCCTGGCTTTCATTTCGTCTTAGGGAAGCTTCAGAGGAGAGGGTGGGCACCGGGTGGGAGAGGGCTCCAACTGCGCCTCTGCTATAGGGGACCCCTCGGAAGCGGAAACTTCCCCACTTTGTGACATCCAGGGGAATACAGGAGAACCTTAGAGGATCCAGATGTTCCCGGTTAGGGAAGGAGGCCACGTTGTTTTACAGCCAAGGCTCAACTGCACAAAATGTAGAAATTATTAACCAGTTTTCTCCGTTTCCTGAAACATTCGCCTTTAATCCTACAGCCAGTTCTTCGCCCAGGCCTTGATGTTTGTACAAGGGAAAGGCCACTCCGCGATATTTCCGAGGAGCTGGCTAGGTCTCGAGCTTACTACAGAAAGCTCACTGAGCTCCTGGCCTGCGGTGCAGATTAGCCCCCAAGAAAAAAAAATGTTGACCCCTGGATGTGGGTCCCGTAACGGTCCAGCGATTGCCAGAAGGGGCTGGAGGAGGCCGCGGCGAAGGAGTCAGGCCTGGAAGGAAGGAGTCCAGGTACTGCTGGCAGTGATGTGACTTCTGTTGAGAGAGAAAAAAAAGGCCAGGGGGACAGAGGCCATTAACTCCAGGAGAGGATGTTGTTGGTGGCGCAATCCCACCCCGCCCCTTATTTTATTCCTTCTCTTTGCACTTTGTTTAGACAGTCATATGTGTTTTCCCCTCTCGGTTCCCTAAGTTCCCTCTCCCTCTGTCCCCGCTGCCCGTTAGTGGTCCCCTTTCCAACCCTCCCTCCCCCCCCCACAGGCGCTGCACTCTGTCGAGCGGCACGCGAACCGCACGCGCAGGCAACAAAAGCTGCTTTCATGACTCACTGCCCTAGAGCAATGCCCCAAATCTGCCGCCCCCCGGGGTCCCTGTTCCGAGCGCGTGGCGCGCGCGGGACAGGCAGTCCCGGCCGTTACAGCGGCAGCCGGAGCGCCGGCGGGAAAGGGGGCGGGAGACAGCGTGTGTCGCGGTGGGGGTGGGGGAGACAAGGGGGAGGGAAGGTTGTGTGGCAGAGGGGAGGGAGGAGAGGCGTGTGGCGGTGAGGGGGTGTGTGGATGCGTGTGGCCCGGGCTGTAAGGGTGGGAAGCGTGTGGCTGGCATAGTGGGGGGAGGGACTCATCCACAGGCCCGAGATAAAGAGCAGAGGCCGGGCCCGCGTCCC